TGAGCTTTAGATGCACGACATAAGCTCAGAACATCTATTAAATTGTAATTAGTGTTAGAAAAGAATTGCATTGACTCAAAAAGACTCAAGAGAAAAAGACTCCAGAGACAAGCTGAAGAGAACACCATAGTCCAAAGATGGAAACTTGAACAAGAGAAGGATAAAAATTGCAGTGGACTAAGTCACATGTTTAAACTGATGAGAATATAAATATAACTATGCTAAAGAAATATAATTGGTCACCTTTCAAGAATGACCAAAGAAACCATTATTTTGCAAATTAGAAAATAAAAGTGATGTTTTCATCTGACCTGTGGAACTGAATACACAAGCTTATATGTATGATAAAATTACTATGAACTAAATGTATGCACATATAAGCATAAGTAACACTGGGCGATCAGAATTAGATCAGTGGGTTATGGATTGTAATGTCCTGGTATGATACTATACAATATTTTGCAAAATGTTTCCTTTGGGAGAAACTGCCTAAAGAAGGTACAGGATCTCTCATATCTTATAGCTACTTATGTCTGTATAATTACCACCCAAAAAAATAATTTATAACTTCATTAGCAATATTTTCATGAATAAGCTATTTCTGAATATATTCTTGAAAGTTACATTTTCTCACTAATGTATTTTACATAGGAAAGGGAATCTGTAGGTGGGAGATCATGTAAGTCTGCTTCCTCTAGCCCCTCAACCTTCGGCCACTCTCTATTGTCAGCAACAGGTGACAAGTCCTATGTTCCTTATAAATTAAGATTCCTTTATTGCAACTATACCATACCACTTGTTTAAGTATTTGAATGTTTTTAAGACCTTTTAAATTTTTTAAACCTACACGTAATGATGAGTAAGTAATGAGTAACAACTGTAATGTTAATAACTGACGATGGTGATGACAAGGGTGGTTGTGGGTGATGCTTGACTACTGCTTTTAAACTGTGTCCCAAGCTGTAAGGTGAACAAAGGAAAATTAATAAACCTGGGAGACAAAAACCTGAGTCACAGCACAGGTGCAAATCAAGACTAATTGCTCCTTGAGTGAGGAACCCAGTCTCTGGAGTGACTGCACCCCAGGGGAGTTGCTGCCCATATATACAAGCCAGCCAGTAAGTCTCCTGATCTCGGTGACCCATTTTCACGACTGCACTGGCTCCTTTGAATATATTTAGGCTTTCAAGTAATGTCTCTTATGTCATATTTGTTTCTTGATTGTTCAAACCAAGGCATCTCTCAAAATTTCCAGAAGACTCTGTTCCAGTTTTCCTCTGCACAGGTATTTATCTACAGGTTTTAAGCAATGGTGTGGGGGGAAAAACGTCTTTCATGAAATATTGCTTCTATTTTCCAACCTTACAGCTACCTTTGTCTGTGTTTTTTTTCCTCTGTGTGCTGTGTTCTCGTTGGCCACAATCTTGAGCCTCTAATGGTCCAGTAGAACTAGAGCTAACAATTGTAGTAATGGATATCAAATATGGGGGTCAAGTCTGCCTATTTGATATCATTAGATGATTATGGTAAAAAAAAAAAATAAGTCAATGCGTCAATGCTCTCTAGGGTTTTCCCCAACTGCACTGTACAAAATGAATGGCTTCACTACTTAAGGCTTTTAAAGCACTTTGCTATCTGATAGTAGTTACAAAGGTGGGTTCTTTATGTTCCCTCTGTGTTTTTAAGAGGTAAAAGCTGGATGGTAGGGATATATAAGATTTTTTGAACTATATTATCTGGAAGAAATGCATTATCTCCATTGCAATAAATGGAAATAGTATTAAAAAAAAAACTTAGCTACTTCTACAATAACGAGTTAATACCCCACCACCAATAACAGATTTCAAGATACAAGGCAGGTGTCCTTGCCACATCAGCTCTTAAGGATTTAAAGGTGCTTATATCCAGAGGGGAAAAAAACAATGCTGGAGTTACTGTTATAAGTCAAATACAAAGAGAGAATGTATTTTAAAATGCTACACTTAAAAAATAATCACAATTTTTTTTAAAAAACTACATTTATACATGCACATATGTACATGAATATATGTGTAGACAAAAATCTAGAAGGATGGTCACTACCAGTATTAGTCTCCAAAAAGGGAAGGGATTACTTATTTGGGCTTAGTTGTATTTCTAATTTTCAACAACACACCTGAATTGCCTTTGCTATGTTTCAAATGCACCTGAGAGAAATCCATCCTCTTATCTCCAAAACATCAACAAATTGGTTCACAAAATAATAAACTGCTACACAAAAGTAAGCAAAACAACATAGTTTAAGGCAGCCAAACAGACTGGTCCTCAGAAGTCCAGGGTGTCTTTAACCAGCTTTACCACTTAGAGTAACTTATAGAGCTTCAACTTTCCCTTTTGTTCTATCTGGTCACAAACTAAGGTGTGGAGCATAAAGCCCGCTCAGCTACAAGTCTACGGCTAAAGTATGTCGGGGTGTTTCAAGGCTACACCCTTGAGATAAGGGAAGAAACGCACCGGAGAGATTTTTCAATAGGAAAGCCTGTAGCAAGCAGGCAGGGAGTCCAGGAGGCAGAGAGCCACCAAGCCGCCCAGCACCACCCCCGCTCCCACCCACCCCCATGAATTTGCACTTTTTTCTAGGTTCCCTCCACCTTAGGGCCTTCGCGAGGTCTCACCTCTCCTGTAGTCACTCATCCGCTAGGAGTGTCCTCTCGCAGCGTTGGTCTCCCGCTGACGCCGCCCTTATATCTCCCGCCTCTCGGCCCAGGTGTGCACACTTAACGCGCACGCACGCTCCAGGTGTCCAGCATCAGGCATGAGGCCCCGCGCGCACGCTCCCAAGCGCCTTCTGCATTCACACGGTCAGGACTGCACGTACTAGCCACAGAGGCTAGAGCTGTAAAAAGGCGGATTAATTCTATTTACCCTACAAAGTGGTAATAAAAGTCCTACTCTAGAGCGTACCTTGAAGGACTCTGTCTCAGGGATTCATTCCTGCTGCAAGATTAAAATCACGGCAGGTCTGGAAAGTGATGCCCAGTTCCATTTCACTGGCATTAAAAAATCTTTCAAAAAAGGGGCCCTCCCTGGTGGCACAGTGGGTTAAAGCACTGCACTAAGAAGCTAAAGCCACTTCCGCATGAGTTCAATCCCCGCCTGCCCCGGAGGTGACCCACATGGCGCGGCAGACCTCTCCTGACCCGCCCGCTGCTCCCCTCAGCAGTGGACTTCGTCAGTCAGCCTGCTCTACTCCCCACTCTGTCTAAATCTTTTTTTTTAAATGTTTCATCTCGTACATTCTCACAGGTAGAATGGTGTGCTGGCCACCTGTGGAGGAATTGATTGCTGGTCTTAGACTTCAGGTTGAGCTCTAAGAAACCCCAGCTGTGAAAGCAGCATAAAAGGATGCTCAGCTGTGTCCCATCTGTCCAGTTCCATAACTTGGAGAAGATAATGTCAACTCATTATGTGACAACTTGTACAATAAATTATGAAAACTTTTATTGGGGGGAAAATTCCTACTCTAAACATTTATCCTCATATACTTCAAAATGTAGGAGTTAATGAGATTGACCTTTGAAGATCGTTATATAAGTTAGTGGGGATAGAAAAAAGCCATTAAAATAGTGAAAATTTAAGGATTTTAGCTTAAGAAGTGATCCTCAAAAATAAGATGCCGGGGTAAGTGAAGGTCAGCCTTTTGTACCTTTGGCCTCTGTGGCTATCACCTGCGCTTTGGAGCATGGGCTGGGGCACACATGCCTGATGGTGGACATCTGGACCATGGAGCGGGCGTGCGTAAGGGGGCACGTCTGAGCCTGAGGCCGAGGCTACCAGGGCAGCGTCACACAGAAATGACTATGGTGGAACCGCTATGGCAGGATAAGTGAAGGTCCCAAGAGGCCCAGGATGTCTGCCATTCTCCCAGGCCCTGGCTCCCCACATGCCCTCCCTCTGGGGCCTCCCTACAGATGTCTTTTGGCAGTGAGTCCAGTAAAGCTGACTCCTGCTTCTTACAGACACATCTATAAGTTGAACGTTTTGCCTTTAGGGAGGTGATGGGGTCAGGGTTTGATATTATAATCTGAAAATAACAATGACAAATAGTACTTAAAGCTATTGAGCATTTTCTCAATACTATACTACATCCTGGTTCCAGGTTGCACCTCAGATCAAATAAAATCAGAACCACTGTGGATGCAATCTGGCCAGGAATCATGTTTAAGTAAATGTTCCAGGTGATCATAATAGACTGTGAGTGTTAAAGAGAAATGTTTAGGGACACAAGTCTGGTCTAAGAACAAATAAGAACTAAACTAAGAATACCTAATGATAAGTGACATTTCTACAGGACCTGAGTACTTGAAAAGACATTTCTAAACATGCAGTATCCCATATTATTTGTACCACCATATTTGGAAGTAATATTGTTGATTTCTTCTTTCAGGTAGAATTCGACTCAATGACACAGCTGTACCTACCCTAACCCCCTGACACTGCATCCGTTTGAGTCAAGTACTGGTATGTCACATTTTGGGACTATTTAGGAATTGCACAGATGGCAAGTTATTTCATTTTTGAACAAACTACATCTCCAACTCAAAATATGAAAAATACTTCTTGCTACCTATTAGGTAAAGGGTTTCCAATTTTAGCATGTACTGATGGCACCTGGAGACAGTGGTAAGCCCAGATTGGAGGACCCCATTTTTCAGAGTGTCTGATTTGCTAAGTCAGGGTAAGGCCTGTGACTTTACATAACATGTGACGCTGATACTGCTGCTGGTCCAGAGACTACACTTTAAAAACCCACAATTCTGGGGTACTTGAGAAGCATGAAAGTGGTAAAAGTTCCATACTTTGCCCCCTTTCTCAACTGCATGAGCTTTGAAGCATACTGAGGTTGATCTTCCTCCCAGAAAACAGCAGGATGAGGAGAAGATATATCAGAATCACAGTGCTGGCTCCAAAAGATAAAAACTAGTTTCACCAAACTGTCCAAGATCTAGTCTTTCATGGGGTTCTTCTCTCCCTTCTGCACAGGGCTCCCACTCAGAGGAGAATGGCTGCAGAAAACTACTCTATAGTAACAGAGTTCATTCTTGGGGGATTGACAAATCGACCAGAGCTCCAGCTCCCCCTCTTCTTCCTCTTCCTGGGCATCTATTCAGTCACCATGATAGGAAACCTGGGTATGTTCATGCTGATTTGTCTGAGCTCTCAACTCCACACCCCCATGTACTACTTCCTTAGCAATTTGTCACTTGTGGATCTCTGCTACTCCTCTGTCATTACCCCAAAAATGCTGGTGAGCTTTGTGTCCCAGAAGAACATGATCTCCTATGCAGGGTGCATGTCCCAGCTCTATTTCTTCCTTGTGTTTGTCATTGCTGAGTGTTACATGCTCACAGTGATGGCCTATGACCGCTACGTTGCCATCTGTAGCCCTTTGCTCTACAACATCATCATGTCTCATCAAGTCTGCTCCCTGCTGGTGGCTGTGGTCTACACCATGGGACTCATTGGCTCAACAATAGAAACTGGCCTCATGTTAAAGTTATCCTACTGTGAGCCCCTCATCAGTCATTACTTCTGTGACATCCTCCCCCTCATGAAGCTCTCCTGCTCTAGCACCTACGCTATCGAGTTAACCGTCTTCTTTCTGGCTGGATTCAACATTATAGTCACCGGCTTAACAGTCCTTGTTTCCTATGCCTTCATCCTCTCCAGCATCCTTCGCATCAGCACCACAGAAGGAAGATCCAAAGCCTTTAGCACCTGCAGCTCCCACCTGGCAGCAGTGGGAATGTTCTATGGATCAACTGCATTCATGTACTTAAAACCCTCCACGGCCAGTTCCCTGGCCCAAGAGAACATGGCATCTGTATTCTACACTACAGTTATCCCCATGCTGAACCCCATCATCTACAGCTTGAGAAACAAGGAGGTAAAAGCTGCCATGCAGAAAACACTAAGGAGAAAAGTGTTTTGATGCAAATCTCCATGTCTTTTCTCAGTTTTAGAAGTTGTGTAACTACCATAGGGAAGCTCTCTACATGCTTACCCACCCATGAAGGGAACCATCAACTCTGGTTGAATGAGCATTTCCTTCTTCCCTCTTCCTTCCTTCCCTCTCTCTCCTCTGAAATCAACCGATTTCAAATTCACGCTTCCTTTCATTTGGGGTTCATTTTCTCTTTCCCAAACTCTTTGGTAAACATCTACTAGCTTAACTATGATTTAACATAAATTCTAAACTTCCAACATTGATTTTGAGAGTCATTCCTTGTAGTTCTTTTCTATATAGAAAGAATTACTCAATCCCATCTTTTTGCACTTCTTCAGGTGACTAAGGAAAGGGTACACAAGAGGACCACACACATCCCTGTTTGTTGACACCATCCCAAGTTTAACACTGAAAAGCCTACATTCTGGGAAACCCCTCCATCCCAGACACCAGGATGGTTGATGGTCCTAGATTAGGTACTGCAAAATCTCTTGTCCTGTTTAAATAACTGATATTTGTTGTCAGCCTCATACAGTAAATCCAGGGGCCAGAAGACAAAAATTCCCCTACACTGCTTGCTTACAATATCAAGAATGCATAACTTCGATAGAGTCGCCTGATATAGAGCAAAGGATCAGTGTGTGTCCTTTTGTCGTGTACAGATAGCTATTTTGGTTACTACTGTACCAGGCAGTGGTTTATTATAGAAACAGAAATAACTCTAGTTTTTTCACACAGAAAGGGACTTTCTCCAGGAATTACCTCTTCTATGGTTTTTCTAATGACTGGAGAAACCGTGAGGGAATCCCCCAAAGTGACTCCACAAAAGATGTGACCTAGAGATCAGGAAGCATCGGCTGCCACCACGCAGAGTGCTTCTCACACTCACCACACGGGAGAAAGGAACCTGGCCTGAGCGTCACCTGGTACAAATGCAAATCACCAGTCCTAGTTCCTATAGTGGAAACACCTGGGTGTTTCCCAGCAGGGGCAGAGAAGGGGGGGCCTTGAACATTGCTGGGATAGAAGCCTCAGTCCAGAGCTAATGCTTCATTGGGAAAATGAATAAAATGCAGGTGCCATGCTCCCAGGCAGTCTTGTGACCATTCTCATTCCTAACCACAAAATAAGCGCCTTCAATACATTCAAGCAAATTCCATTCCTATTCCACCAACTATATAGGGCCTAGTCCCAGGCCTCCCTTCTCCCATTACCAGGTTGAAAATTCTTCATTTGTAAGAGTCTAAGTGCAAAGCAAGGGGGCTCCGCTGACTTAAGGGGAGCACAGAATAAACATCCGGGCACCAGTCCCAGCTGGCCCTGAAGCCTCCTCCACAGAGCTCCCCTCCAGTGACCACAAGCCTGGCAAGTCATTGAGAGAAGGACCCTAGCTTTGATATCTCCTCAGAGCTGGCTGCATGGCAGAGCTGTGTTCTCACTCTGCGCACCCCGGGATCTCTCCTGCTGTCAGTGTCCCTCTGTAGCCCCTCCCTCACCCCTACACTGGACAGAACGTTGCTGCTTGGGCGCTCAGTGGCACAGTGCAGGAAGCCCTGTGACGAGTCAGTCCACACTGTGGGCTACCCGCTGCTGCTGACTGGGTCCAGGTAACCCTTCTGCTCCAGGAAAGGCAGCCACTGCGCCCTGCTGGTGAGCCTCCCTCCACCCCCCTCATTCCTCTCTTAGCCTGGGAGTCGGAGTAAGACAGCTCTGGGTGTGAACCATAGCTTGACCCAATTTTATAATTTCAGACTGGGTTGGCAGTAATGAAATAAGCAGATAAAATGTGTGCTTAGGAACCAGCAAATCAGGTTTTGGAGAACATGTCCACACCTTTCCAATCAGAAGAAAAAAGTAAGAAGCTACTGTGAAATGTTTTTGTCATTTCAATTATTACAATTGTGCTTAAACCTGAGTGGGGGAGATCTTACATTTCTAAAACACAAACAACAGTGTAAAACAGTCACCTCAGTTTTAAATCGTTGTGTTTAACATTTCAAGTGGCAGAGAGAGAGCAGGACTATAATAGTGTCAGGGCCCCAACTTAATCAAGACCTGTTGTCAACTACAGAGTAGACAAAGCAGCTCTCAAACTTTAGCCCGTATTTGAATGACTGAGGAGGCCTGTGAGGACAAAGTTCTGGACTGTTCCCCAGGCCCCCAGACTCACTAAGTCTGGGACAAGGGTGGAGATCATTTCTAATAAGTTCCCAGGGGGTGCGGATGCTGGTACTGCGTGCCAAGACTTTGAAGGGCACTGGCTTAGACAGAGGCTATCCAAGCATATATACTTTCCCAGTATATATGATTATTTTAGGCTTGTCCGATTCCTCAAGGAGCCTTCCAGACTTCTAATATAAGGAGCATAAGGAATGTGGCCAGGAGACCTGCTGCCAATATTCTGAGACCCCAGCAATGGCAAGAGTAGCAAGGTGTCAAAATGTAGGGCATGATCTTCTCAACAGAGACTGCCACAGCCGTGCCTTTTGCTCCAATGACCCAAGAAGTGAGTAATATTTCCATTTCACAGAGTAAACTGAGGTTGACAAAACTGAAATAGGTCAAGTTCAGGGCTTAGGAGAAAGCAGACCTGTTAGCGTACCTGTAGTATATCTCAAAAGATCAGGCTCATTCTCAGGAACTATGTCCTTACATTATAGCTAGGACTGGAATTCATGGATGGATCTCCCTGGGTTCAAGGTGAGAATTATCACAGTGGTGCTCCGAAAAGGCAGATCTGTTGCAGCAGGAGTGTAAACTCTGTGGGCGTTGTGGTCAGGCTGGGCTAGGCACAAGCTCTAATACCTTCACATCTACAAAAATAAAGAGGACCCTGCTGGGTACTTCTGAGAGTAGCAGGTTGCCAGCACTAGTCAGCTAAGGGGTAAGTGGGTCCTCGAACCAACACTGTCAGAAGAGGCCTGTGACTAAAA